CCACATTTGCTTATGCACCCATTTGTCTTCAGCGGTTTTGTCAGGAAGGTGAGCATCATAGAATGCAAATTTAATAGAAGAAAGTATTCTTGCATTGAGGGAGTACTTGATTGGAGGCCCAATGTCCTTCTGCAACCTTAATACTAAACCTATAAATATATGCACATAGATCTACTTCCCCATCCTCATATATATTTGCATATGTACATGCCTTTATCTAGACCTCTATAAATGCCCTTTTCCTCCCAGCTCTTTCTTCTATTTCCTTTGACTTTCCTCCTGTCCCACTATCATGCTTAGTCCCCACTTGGGTTTCAGCAATTCTTCTTGGTTACATTACCCTCGATCATGCCCTACCAGGCCTCCCACCCCCTCCTAACCACCCATTTGGATCACTTGTTGTTCCCTTGTCGTTGGGTTTGTTAACACCACTACCTTTCCCCCCAGCTCCCCCACTCCCATGTCCCCCCGCCCCCAACTGTGGGTCCCATTGTTTGCTCCTCCAGATTATTCATCCAGCCTATTTTATTTACACAGACCTGTGGAGATAATAACATGCACAAAAACAAGACAGAAAAACCAAGCAACAAAATAAAAACAAACAAAAAACACAACAAGAAAGAAAAGCTTGTAGTTAGTTCAAGGACTGTTTGTTGGCCCAGGGAAGTAACTTGACAATCATTTACCATTAACTTCAAGCAGTGTCCTAAGTCTAACACATATTTGGGGAAGACAACTTGGGGGAAATCTTTCTGATTCCCACATGTGGTGACCCCCCAACCATAAGATTATTTTCATTTCATAACTGTCGTTTTGCTACTGTTAGGATCAGGCAACCCCTGTAAAAGGGTCATTCAACCCCCAAAGGAGCCGCAACCCATAGGTTAAGAACCAATGGTTTAAGGTATAGGTGGGGTTTTTTTTTCCATCGATAACTCTTAGAAAGAAACAAGTAACTGACAGTGTTCCTTCCATAGTTCTCTAATATCTGCTGCAGTTTTGTTGAGTACCAACAAGTCTGTTACAGCTCATAGCTACCCGAAGTACAACAGAATGAAACATTATTTGTTCCTGCTGGTGTAGTAGTTGTGTTGGGCTGCTAAGCACAAGATCAGCAGTTTGAAAACATCATTTGGTCCATGGGACAAAGATGAGGCTTTCTGCTCCTGTAAAGAGTGACATTCTTGGGAGCCCACAGGGCAGTTGTACCCTGTCCTGTAGGGTCACTACTAGTCAGCATCGACTCGATGACAGAGTCTTTTCTTTCTGTCTGTCTTTCTTTTTTGCTATGCCATAGTTAATTAAACCATAGGTATTCTCTGTGAACAGGCATTTACCAAATTTTTCATACTTTTTTCTCATAGGATCGGGTGACTTTTAGAAGAATCATAGTGAAAAACAATGCCAAAAAGAGGAAGATGTTTGAAGCATTTATCGAATCTGTGCCTCTCCTAAAATCATTAGAGGTAAAGTCTATTTGAATAAGAGTCAGGTAACAGAGATTTAGTAAGAAGTGTTAAAACTATTCTCAGTAGAGTTTCAAAGCAAGTTATTTGAACCCATTTCTGTGACTTCCAATTGAAGTATTTTCCTTATAATTGGTGAGTGTGTCCATTGTTTCAGGTGTCAGAACGAATGAAGATTGTGGATGTAATAGGAGAGAAGATTTATAAGGATGGAGAGCGCATCATCGCTCAGGTGAGCTGGAGGCCTTGTTCAGCTTCCTTCTTGTAATTCATCACCAACAGGACTAGAGTATTGGGGGTTTTTTTGTTGGTTTGTTAAATTCTATTTAACAGTTTTGTTGACATAAATGGACATACCATACAATTCAGTGGTTTAAATGTATTACAAAGAGTTGTGCAATAGAGAGTATTGTTTGTCTCACACAACGTTCCTGTCCTCCCACTGCAAAGGAGCTCCTAAGAACTTGTCAGGACCTAGATCACGCTTCTTACAGATTCCTCTAACGTCCTTGGCCACTCTCTTGACTCTACCTTTCCTTGACTTCTAGAGTGTATTATTTTAAATTTTTTATCATTTTATTGGGGGCTCATACAACTCATCACAATCCATACATACATCCATGTGTAAAGCACATTTGTACATACTT